ATTTTTTTGCATTTTTAAAGTCAAAAAACTTATTGTTAAATTTAAATCAGCTTAAATTACTAATTTTATCGTCTGACATAAGCGTCGAACAGTTGCCTTATCGTTAACATTTGTGTCTTTAACGCTAAGGGTATGAGGTTCAATTCTGGTCATGACAATTAATTTTATGTATTTTTTTCTTAATTCTTTTTGAGTTAGAATAAATTTTCAATTCATTTGATTTTTATCTCATTTAGATTCAATAACTTCAATGAAGATCAAGGATCACATCACTGTAGTCGCCCCTTGCAAGAAGAAATTTCTTATTCATATTAAATTTATATTACTATATTTTAGGTTTTAGCTTCGATGCAAAGTTGAGAAGGTATTTTTTTGTTATTTGCTAGGTACTTGAAGCTCTGTACCTTTTCAAAGTTGTATTCATCAACTTTTAATTAATTAGTATTGTAACTTCGTCTCGAAAATATCATATACTTCGTTTTTGATTCATTTATCTTCAGATTGTTGTAATAGGCCCTATACTTAAAAACACTATTTCTTTCTCTTCTCTTTCATCTCTCAATACAAACAAATATTCTATCCTATTACACAATACTTCTCTTAACAAGTACTATACACAATCAATATTTTTTGTTCTTAAACCATTCTTAATCATGGTTTCTTTTAGTTAAGTATGTAACGTAATAAAATTATCATGAGTATCAGGTCACAGGTAACTGTATTCAAACAGTGCGCGTCGTACATCCGTAGGTTCAGTGTTGCACATACAGACATAATTATTGATTAAATTGATATATTCCCTACCACCTGTGATTCTCATCCTAAAAAACCATAATGATGAACACACTGTCAAGTACCCTCTCCCAGGTGTGATCAAGTTGGCATAAGAAAAAATACGGTTATGTTCAAAAAAGAATCTCTCATCATCATTCAATTCACTTTTTTTCCTCTCCATCGTGGAATACATTTTGGCCCGTTGGCGTCAACCATTTTTTTTTTTTGGTCTTTCTTCTGTGATCTTGTCAAGAAATCAAAGATGGAAGAATAATTTTTCATTTTGGCTTGGCCATTGTTATGGCAACACCTCAAATTAATAACATGGACTTGGACAACATCAACTAATTGTAATGTGGTATATTTCTTCTGTTCTTTTCTCTGTTTATCTGTTATTTGTTTTAACATGTTATTTAAGTAATTTGTTTATGAGTGATCTGACTATGTGGTCACAAATGTTAGTTACTGACTATATAGATAAACTATAATTTTATATTATATGGTCAATGGTCAATCCGTCTATTAGCTTCGATGCGAAGCTGAGAAGGTATTGGTTTTACTAAGATGTGTTTTTTTTTTTTTTT